AATTCAAACTTTGCTATTCTGATCTTTGCAAGTGGTTTGAGTTAATCTCTACGCCTTTCCTGGTTGCATATTTCTTTTGCAGTTAGTGCTGGCATGAGAGATAGGTTGCGGCAGATCCTTCCATGGATACTGAGCGTGTCCTGAAGAGCTTGCCCGAGTTTTCTTTCCCCTCCCTTCTTTCACTATCTTCAGTAGCATAAAACCCCTAGAAAGAAACTATAATGGTCTGTCATATTTCATGATTACTTTTCTGGCATGATTTTCCTGTCATATTTCACAAGAAAAATAAATAGAAATTTGAATGCTTGCTGTTATTATTATCTCTTGTTTCTGTTCCGGAGGAATAGAATGATGGGGGAAAAAATTATTAGTCAGGGATTTTAATGTTGAATCAGTATTGGTTATTCTAGATTTTTGGTATTATTTAGACATATTACTCTGTATTATTTAGCAATTAAAATAAGAATTTAGTTTGGTTTAATTTCCTTATTTACAAATTTTGTAAGGATGTTCCTTAGTGTTTGTTGACTTTGTAAATGTAAGTCCTCCTATCTATCTTTAGTTGTTTGATTAAGATGGAGGGAGAAATAATATGGCTAAATAATACTAAAAACTCAAAATTCTCAAATAATCATACAAAATTAAGAGATACTTTGTTTTCTGTTTTCATCCCCGATAAATTGTCCAGCTAGAGGGTTACAATGTACAGGATAAACTAGAAATCAAATAGCTAGCTAGAAAAAACATAATAAATAAATAATCATAGTTGACATGTGCTTTCAAAATAAATTCTTTGTACAATAGAAGTCCCTTGTCCTTGAGCGCACCTATATTTCAAGGGACATCTTGATTTGCATTAATTGCTGACTCCCCAGAAGAACTTGACTCCAATAAGTTATGATGAACATAATCGACAAATAAGTTTGGATGCAGCGGTTGAAGTTCAGTATTTTGTAGTCAAACTCAATTTGAAGCGAGTTGATTTTTCCACTTCACAAAAATTTTGTCATATCCCCCTCGACGAGTTGAAGAAGACTAGTGATCAAGGATGGAGGCAATTTCATCTTAAGAAGTAGTGGTGTTAGTGACATAAGGTTTTGATGCTTTCATGGCCTTTGTAGTCGAAATTGTAGCCAAATTCATCTGCATCACCTTCAAACTCAGTGATATCTTCAATATTAAAGATCGGACTAATACCAAGATTTGAATGTAAGTTTATGACATATGCATTCATGCCTAATTCCTAAGCGATTCGAAAAGGATCAGCACATTGTGCATGTAGTTTAGTAAAACTCCCTGGAGGAAAACATCTGGTCTTAAGAGAATAAAGACAATATCAACAATTGAAATTTTCTATATTTGCACCTTGCATTTACAAAAACTGCATATGACTTATTGTTAAGAGAAAGATGTGGTTTGACCTTTTCATGAACATCTTTCATATAGATAGAAACATCAAATCGAGCTTCACTTGGTCAAGAAGGTAAGGGTATTGGATTGAGATCTAGGAAAGTGTAAAGCCGACAACCATAGACCACTTCACAAGGTGTGCTCTTTGTAAACCTGTTTACTAAATTATTGAAAGCAAATTCCACTTGCAGGAGTATAAGATCTCAACTAGTGAAACTAGTGATGTTATCGGCGACAAGACATTGTAATAAATTGCCCAGACTCCAATTGATCACTTCGGTCTGACTATATGTTTGGGGATGAAATTCACTATAAAACATCAATTTTGTCCCCATGTTTGCCCATTATGTCTTCCAGAAGTAACTTACAAATTTTACATCTTTGTCATATACAATAGAGATTGAGACACCATGTAATCGGACTACCTCTTGTAAAAATAGAATCATAGGACTTGTTACACGGAAGAAAGTGAGATATTTTTGAAAAAACAATCCACAGCCACCGTAATTGAGTCATCCTATTGAGTAGTCTTAGGCAAACCCATAACAAAATCCATGCTAATATTTTGCCAAGGCTTGTTTGGAATCAAGAGAGGAGTATAAAGTCCTGCTCAATTTTCGGTTTCTTTATTTAGCTGACAAATTTGAAAATAGTCTACCACCTTATGCATATCTTTATGCATCCAATGCCAATAAAATTAATCAACAACCATGGAATAAATCTTATCATAACCGAAATGTCCTACTAACCTACCATCATGGAGCTTTGTGATTATGAATTCATGGAAAGAACCTTTTGGAATGCATAAACTAGTACCGTAAAATAAGTAATCATCCTTCAAAGAATATTCACCACCAAATATCTTTACTTTGGAGCATAAATTACCCTATATTTTGCCAAAGTCCTCAACATCAGCATACTGCCTTTTAATATAATCAAAGCTTATAAAATATGTCGAGAACAACTATAGTGAGTCCTCAATGTTGGATGCTAATACTTAATAGTTTGAATTAAAGCATAAAACTTAATGTCATATGTTGAATACTTCAAATAAGTTTCTTTAAGCTTTTCACTGTAAAAAACAATATGATGAACTTCTTGCCTCAAGGTACCCCCAATTATTTCTCAATACACGATGCTAGTTGATATGCTTCTTCTACATTGATTAATCATGTAATCAATATTTCCTTACACAGATCACCATGCAATCCATTGCAATATCTAGCCAATGTTTGTTGTTCAGTTTTCATAATCCTGCTATAAAGAGTCAATTCATGGAAACAATCTATCCATTGATCCATAATTAACGGTCCTTGTCCATAATCAATATTAAAATATTTTTTCCTTCACCCTTTCTTTCATCTCCTCCTAGTTAGAAATTGATGGATGCCAAAGTATTGTGTAATTGTTATTCCACACTTCCCCATCAAGCTCGTTCATGGCCCTTCAATTTTATTCTAACATAATGAACCTTTCAATCCTCTAATATAGCAAACTATTCAAAATAATCTTCAATGGCCATTAACCAATCCTCAAAAGCATTAAGCTCTAATTTTCCATAAAAAAACAAGCATATTCATCTTCGTCCTCTTAATGAGGTCATCAAGAGGTTGATAATCCAAACCATGCCTATCATGATTTTGGTGGAATACATCTTTGTTATGTTGAAACTGAGGTTGATAAGTCTCAAGCTCTCTAAGTCTTCATCTTCCAAATTCTCCTCCTCATCCCCTGTATTTTCATCAAGCAACTCCTCATGAAATTGATAATGCCCCCTGTTATTAGGAGATTTAAGTTCTTCTCAAACCTAATGCTTATCCATAGCATCTAGTTGATGAGAAAGTTGTTCTAGAATACTAGTGATGTGGGTGATTTATTGTTATAGGTTGGCCTACTCATGACTTGGATTTTTATAAATGTGAGTGTTCAACATATTATACCAGTTACTATTATAGGTTACTAGCAAGGAATGCTTTGATACCAAAATGATAAAGCACCTTTAAGTTTAGCCTCATATTGAGATCCTAAAAGAATAAATAAAAGAACACATAATTACTCTACAATGGAATTACTCCAAATTTTATTAAAAAAATAAGTTTAGAAAAGAGATATTTTATTATTTGTTTTCATCCTTGATAAATTATCTAACCAAATGACTACAATTTCCAAGATAAACTAGGAAACAAATAACTAATGTGACTAGAAAACAAATAACTAACTAAGAAAAAAATAACAAATAGATAATCATAATTGACATTCTTTGTCCAATTAAAGTCCTTTTTTCACTATTAAACCCCATTTTTTAAGGGACACCTTCTTGATTTTCATCGGCATATCCTTTAAGATGAGAGAATAAGTATTGTTATCTATTTTTGGATTCCCGTAAAAAAAAAAGAGAGAAAATACAATGTATATATATATATATATATTCAAAAGAAATCCAAAAAATAATATGAGCAAGAAAAGGATGCTAGAATGCCGAAAAAAGGCCAAAATTAGTTGAAGAGGTTCAAAAATCCAAAAGGGTGAAATTTGACAGTATATTTTTTATTGACAAGAGCTTTGTTGACAAAGAAAATTTAATTTGAGGAAACAAATCTAAAATCAGATGTTTATGGACTCAATTAAATTTTATCTAAGGTTTAATTGAATTTATAGAGGGTTTGATTACAAGAAAAATATATGTTTAAGTCAATTTATACTTTTATTGGATGAAATTAAAGTTTTGGGGTTCAATTATAATTTTAAAGAGTTGATTACATCAAATTGAGGCTTAATTGCATAATAATTGAAGTTTGATGGTTAATTAGAGACTTGATTGAAACAATCCAAAACCAAATATCAAACTGGAGAAAGCACTAAAATCAAGGGATCCAAATACAATTTATCTGGGGGCTTGATTTCAAAATTGTAAAAACATCCGAGGACAATAAAAAATATCCATTTTCATAGGATGACGATGTCATTTCATAGCAATATTTCATCACCTTTCTTCAAAATTGTTTCAACAAAAAATGGAGTCGTTTCAACAACAAAAACAACAGATTATTTTAGTTATGGAAAATGTTTCACGGTTACTATTCCTTTACATTATGTTACCAAGCTAAATGTTGCACTACATGACATTCTTTGGCTTTATTAAGTAAACTTAAATCCGAGATCTACAATTCCAGATATAATTCATTGCCAAACAGTGTTTCAGTTTAGACTACACCAACATCTCTTTTCTAAATTTAGCCATCTCTTTATCCTTTTAATTTTAGTATTTAAACTTATCAATCAATCCTTTTATTTATATGATAACCCTATATTTAAAATGAACATTTACCACAAATTAAAAATATTTTATATTATTAGATATGTTTTTATAAATCATGTTTTAGTTAAGGAGTTATCAATAAAAATATAAAATCTTGATAAAAATACACTTTTAAGTATTAATCAATTATCTTGAAGATAAGAATAAAATGACAAAAACACTTTGTAGTTCCTACTTTTTATATAAATTGATAATTTTTTTTTAATTTTATATTTTAAACCCTATAAAAATAAAATAAAAAATTAATGAGCTAAAAATTAGATTTAGTTATCAATGAAAATATAGAACTGAGCATTATAGTCTATATATATCCTCACGGAAGTAAAGCCTGGTACGAATTTGATTGGCCAGGAGTTTTGTCAAACCAAAATCAAAACCAGCCAAATCTACAAGCTCTATTTTTGTAGGCTTATTAACTTGCTGATTGTTATTGAGTCCAGTGGCTCGGCCAGGTAAGCTTGAGTTCGTGCTGATAATTCTTGTGCCACGAAACGCATGGTAGGTCGTGCTTCTGGGTTCTTTCGTGTGCATGCTAAGGCCACTGTAACTATGAAAACAACTTCCTCTGCTGCTTGGCCAGTGGGAGCTTCAAGCCGAGGGTCTAGCACATCCTTAAGAAACAACTCTGGATCGTTTGACAATGATGGTTTTATTGATGATAAGAGCTCTCCCGGGTGCTTTCCCATCATAACCTCCAAAGCCACCACCCCAAAACTGTACACATCACATTTGTCTGTGAGCCGCATTGTTTGTGCCAGCTCTGCAAACACCAGGCAATCAAAATGAACATTAGAAATATTTAGTCAAGAAGGCAGGCAATTAACAATGACACAATGCTAGACCGGTTGTGAGGGTTTTGTTTGGCTAGAGAAGAGGCAAGATTTGCAAATGTGAGACCTTTCTAGAAGGAAACCTTTCCCAGCAACATGAATGAACAAAGGAAACATTTCAGCATTATGTCATGTTGCCCATTTCCTTGTTATAGCCTGTTAAAGCTTTCATGACTTCGGGAGAAAAGCTATCAAAACTCATTTTCTGAATACTTAGAGTGACAAGAATAATCTGTTAAGAATGCACCCTTTAGAATTGTGAGCTTACCTGGAGCCATGTAGCCATAGGACCCAACAACTGCAGTCCAGTTGGAGGAGTCTGTATTCAAGAGTCTTGCTGTGCCAAAATCTGAAAGACGGGGCTCAAAATCTATCTCCAGCAAAATGTTGTTCGATGATATGTCCCGGTGTACAATGGGTGGAGAACAGTCATGGTGCAAGTAGGCAACTGCATGAGCTACTCCTCGCACTATATTCACTCTTCTGCCCCAACCAAGCTCCACTTCCCCTTCTATTCCATACAACACTTTTCCCACGCTTCCTCTTTCAACATACTCGTAAACCAGGTACAAGCAGCCCCTCCTGGAGCAAAATCCAAAAAGCTTTATGATGTTACGGTGCCTAACTTCTGTCAGCAGTTTAATCTCATTCTCAAAACTCTGGCGATTGAGTGCTGGGATATCACTGGAGTCTGACATGTTGAGTTTCTTGACTGCAATCACTTGACCTGTAGACAATACTGCTTTGTAAACACTGCCAAATCCTCCTCTTCCAATGCAGTACTTCTCATTGAAGTCTTCAGTGGCATTGACAATATCCCCAAATGTTAACTTGCTGTCTCTTTCCCATACCATTGACTCAGAACTCTCACCATTATTGATGCGTTTGATCTCTTCATCAAGCAGTTTGGTTTTTCGGCAACATAGCAGAACAGCGACAATAGTTGCTACTACTAATAAGCAACAAACTGGAACGATGACACCAATAAGAACCTTTTTGTTATGCTTTGAGGACTTGCCATTGTCTGTTGTTGGACATTGTGATAATCCTTCTACATTACCGCACAACCCTGAATTTCCAATAAAAAATCTTGCAGATGCATTTTGGAAAAGGCTTCCAGTTGGTATAGGACCTGTCAACTCATTGTATGAGAAATCAAAAGAATGCAGGCTAATCATGGTGGACAATGAATCTGGGATTCTTCCTGAGAGATGGTTATGTGAGACATTGAGATTCTCCAACATTGAAAGCTTTCCCAAATTTAAAGGTATGGCTCCTGAGAGTGAATTGCTGCTGAGATCCAACAAGTACCGCAAGTTTAAGTTGCCCAGCTCAAAAGGTATTTCACCAGAAAGATTGTTGTGGCTCAAGTTCAAGCTTGATAGCTTCTCATAACCCCCAAGCTCTTTCGATATGTTTCCAGTCAGCTTGTTATCAGATAAGTCAAGAGATTCAAGCCTTGTCAAGTTGCCTAGACCCTGAGGTATCTCCCCTTTCAAATGATTGTTGCTCAAATTGAGCATGAATAACATCCTTAGATTTCCCAACTCACCAGGAATCCTCCCAGTCAGGTCATTGGAGTCCAGACTTAGAAGTCCCAGCCGGGGCAGCTTCCCTAGCTCGGCGGGGATTTCACCAGAAATTCTGTTTCTTCCCATCTGTAAATTGGTGAGGTTTTCACATTCTCCCCAATCTGGTGAGATTTCACCAATAAATTGATTGTCATTAAGAGCAACAAAAACAAGATTTGGAAGAACACCAAATGCATGAGTGATGTTTCCAGTGAATTGGTTATCCTCAAGCCGAACTCGAGTTAGTCCTAAACAATTCCTCAAGCAGGTAGGCAATGCCCCAGTAAAGTTGTTGCTGTTGACAGTTAGTTGTTGAAGTCTCAGACCACTACATAATTCGGGCGGCAGTTCTCCAGAGAAACTATTGTTTGAAAAGCTAGCATACAACAGCGAAGGAATGTTCTTCCCAAAATTACTCGGAATGCTACCAGAAAAGTTATTGCCAAACAGATTGATAGAAGTTAAAGAAGTAAGATTTGAAATGGTCTCTGGCAACTCCCCATGGAGTTGGTTGGTGTTGAGATCAAGAATTTGCAGTGATGTCATATTTCCAACTTCTGGTGGAATTGTACCGTTGATGTTATTGAAAAAAAGATTCAAGGTTTCAAGATTTGTAAGATTCCACAAGGTTGGAGGAATGGGGCCCGAAAGCTGGTTTCCTGAAAGGTCTAGACTAATTAACTCTTCCAAGTTTCCTATCTCGTGGGGAATGGAACCAGAGAATGAGTTATTATACAAAAAAAGATACTGGAGCATTGTCAAGTGCCCGATTTCTGGAGGAATATTTCCAGAAAAATTATTGTTCTGAACTTGAAACGAGGTCAACTCGGTCCAGTTGGATATAAGGGCAGGTGAGATCTCACCGGAGAAGAAATTCTCAGATAAACCCAAGTCAGCTATTTTAGAAAGATTAGACAAAGAAGAAGGCAATTCCCCACTCAGCCGATTATCAGCCAGGGCCAAGTAGGTGAGGTTAGTACAAAGACCAAGCTCCGGAGGAATGGTTGAGTTTAAGGCATTCATTCTAAGATCAAGTTTTTCCAGATGCTTAAGTTTGCCTAGAGAAGATGGAATAGTCCCCTGAAAAGAATTACTGAACAGTTCAGCAGTTCGAAGACCAGTTATCGAACCAATGCTTTCAGGAATTTGACCACCCAATAGATTAGTTTGTAGACTAAGGCTTTTGAGATTTGAAAGCATCGAGATTTTGGGTGACAATGGTCCTTGGAATGAATTGTTATAGAGATTCAAGGTCTCCAGCTTTCCCAGATTGGTGTACGCCAACTCTGATATCTGGCCAGTGAAGTTATTGAGTGACAAATCCAGAAACATCAAGTTCCGGCAATTGGTTATGAAATCAGGGAATTCCGAAGCAAGCTCATTGAGAAAAAGGCTAAGATATTCCAATGAAGGCATGGAAAATTTAGACCAGTCAGGGGTTTCCAAGTAGTTTGCTCCAAGGTCTAAGTGCCTTAACTTCAGAATATAGGAAAGTTGAAAAGGGATGGTACCGTTGAGATTGTTGTTGAAAAGACTAAGATACTGAAGCTCTGTCAACTCTGAAATCTCCACGGGTATGCTGCCCTCGAAAAAATTGACGCTGAGGTCCAAGTAATTGAGCTTGGAGAGGCCGCCAATGGCTGATGGGATCGCCCCACTCAGAGTGTTATTCTGGATGTCAAACCTAGTGAGATCAATAAAAGGGGTGAAGTTGAAGTGGGCAAGTGTTCCATTTATTTCTAGGCTGGGGAGGTTTATTTGAGAAACTGTTTGAGAGGTGGAGTTGCAGGAAATGGCAGTCCAGTTGCAGAGGTTGTTGAGGTTGGAAGGGGACCATGAACGGAGAGAAGGAGGTGAAGAGGCTAAGGTGTTTTTCCACTGCATGAGAGCTTCAGCTTGTGTTCTTGCAGATGATGTTGCCTTCAAAGGAAGCATGGAGAGACAGAGAGAGTGGAAGAGAAGAGCAGCATAAAGCTTTTGAGAGGCTGCCATGATGAGGTTATGGGGGTTGGGTATGATCTTGACTGTGGGATTATTGTCGCTTTAGAAGGAAGGAGGACATTGCTGTGAAGCTCCCTAGTTATTGGTCTGAAAACGTTGACTTTGGCATTCCAAGTCATGAAAATGATGAGAAGGGTGGTAAGTAAGAATAATATGCGGGAGGGAGGGGCCATTAATACAAAATGTTGAAGAAAGAACTTAACGTGAAAATACAAGAAGATTCATTAATGGATCACACCTATCCTTATCTTTTACCCTTGAATTCTTCCAAATTAATTCATCTAGCTCTAATAATTTTTTTTTATTTGAGAAAAATAATGCCACTAGAGGAAGGGTCCTTGATCGAAAACCAATTCATTATGATAAAAAAAAAATCTTACAAATGTGTTAAAAAATAAAAACAAAATAAATTAAATATATATATATATATACGCACACTTTCATGGATTACAATAATAAAATTAGGTTTTTTCCCTTCAATCAAATAACATTTAACATGACTAATGGGAATATAATAGTCTTTTTATTTTTTTAATGAATAATAAAACTATTAAAATAACCTTGATATATATATTCTCTTGAAACGCGTTTACAGCATATAGAAATCATTTTATACAGGAATAAAAACAAAAACAAAATGTATAGATACGCAGCGTCCCACCTGGCATCTAGTCATTCTCAAGGCATGTATATAAAATAAATAAATAAACAATGGCCCTCACGCTCTCCACCTGTCATTTTCGGTTTCCGAGAAAGACTCGCCCTTGGCAGTTGGGTTTTTGTTTTTTACCCGAATGAAAAGAGTTGACCATTCAAAAGTCCATGTTATATGGCTGGCTACGTGGGCCCTTGTGATGGTGGAGAATTTACAATACTATCCTTTCCATGGGCGAAGACAAAAGGGATGTTCTCATGCCCAAATAATACATTATACTTGCAATCTTTTCAATATATGCCTAAAATACAACAGTCCAATCCATGTTCTTCTTTCTAAAATTATCTTGATTCACTTTGTTTAATAAATATAGAATATATTCATTATTGTAATTTATGTATTTTATTTATTAAAAATTGGTCATGAATGACATTGTTCTTCCAAGAAATGGCCCCAAATTATTGTCTCGGATAGGAACACTGCTAGGAAAATTCTCCAAATCCTCATATATATATATATATATATCTAGAGTAATTGACTGAGCTCACCGTCCGACTAAGGAGGCAAGCCCAGATAGTCAAAGTCAACTCTTGAACTAGGGCAAAAGAAAAGACTTCAGAGTTCTCTATCCACACACGGCCCCATTGAAATTTAGGAAATCAATTGACCGAGATTAACAACTCTCTTTTTTTTATTTAATGTTAAGACTTACGGGCCCTTTTATCAAAACTTAAATGTGCAGAAATTTCAAAGATGCCAGGCGTCTGTACCTTAGCTCAACTGCTGGAGTGAAAACATATGAACACCATCATAAACTGAGATAATAATAGATTCCATCGAGGGCAAAGGCACTCTGGCATTTCCAAGACGGTGACTGAAAATGTAAGATATTTTTTACAACTTTTAGAGGATTTACGCATGCTTAAGTATAACAACTTCAAATCAAACTCCATTAAAGGACGTATTGGAACCTTTACATCTCCACGCAGGTAAAACATTTCTATGTTCGGTCACATGTATATAACAGAAATCATGAAAAATACCTGCTTGTGTTTCTTGCGCGACCTATAGGGTCTTAAAGGGATAGAAAAACCATTGCTTCTCCTTAATGCATGGTAATTGGGCTTTGCGCTATGATTCCTGGTCACATCTCAAGGATTTTCACAACTAGGAGCTTATTTCAGGGAATCCTGAACTTCTGCTTTCCTCTCTTTGTAGTTCAGTCCAAGCAAATCCTTCAAAACACTGAAGAAGGTTAGAGAGCCAGCCTAAAATAAAAAAAAATACACTGTTTTTTAACCAAGTTACTTCATTTTGATTTCACTCAAATCATTGAGTATTCCTAGGATATAGATTTCAACAACCCAATATAAGTGCATGGAAATTCAATGGTCAAAACTGCTTTAATAATATTTCCCTCTCATCAACAGTATTTTGACTGCATTTATATAAAGAAAATAGACAAGGGTTCACACATGCACACCTTGTAACCACTTCCTTTATGGTTTCATACTCCAATCCATGCGTCTATAAGTGTCTGCCTATGCATTTATGACCATGTCTAAACATTTTTATACATTAGGAAATGCTTAATTTAATCAATCACTATCCGGTTGAATTTCAGAGAACCCAGAAAGAGAAGTCCTACGAAGATGCACAAGAGCAAGAAATAAATATACAAAACTATAAGTCTCCATAATGATCAAGAAATTATATTATTTAGTAATTTAAATTAAACTTTTTGACTTGGTATATTGCAACTTTTCAAAGCTCGCCAAAGGAGGATAACTTCTTAAGAGATAGAAGATCGAAAGGAAGACATAGAGCGTCAAAAGTATAGCGAAGCAACAAACTGTAACTCCCACCTTGCAAATAATATTTTCCTTGACAGCTTCTTTGAGCAATTCAGGGAAAATAAAGGATCAGAGATTTTGATGAAGCTGATGAAACTGCAACCATGACAGCAACACTCCAGAGGATATTTCACTTTCTCATTCTCTCTACTGCTTTTGTGCTTATCACTGCACAGAGAGAAGCGGAAACATTGCTAAACTGGAAAAATAGTTTAAACTTTCCAACTTTACCTTCATGGACGCTCAACAGCAGCAGCAGTCCATGCAACTGGACAGGAATTCGGTGCAATGTAGAGGGAAGCATTATTGAGATAAATCTCGAGAACTCAGGCCTGGATGGAACTCTTGACAGGTTTGATTCCTCATCGTTTCCTAACCTTAGTTCACTCAATCTCAATTTGAACAATCTCGTAGGAGATATCCCACCTGGAATTGGGAATGCCACAAAACTCATTTCACTTGATCTCAGTAGCAACAATTTCACCAATCAAATCCCCCCAGAAATTGGTAACCTTAAACAACTTCAAGTTCTTCGTCTCTACAACAACTCACTCACAGGCCCAATTCCACATCAGCTAAGCAACCTACAAAAGGTGTGGCTTCTCGATCTTAGTGGAAACTACCTAAGAGATCCTGACCCTGTTCAATTTAAGGGTATGGCATCTTTAACAGAGCTGCGGGTTTCCTATATCCTTTTGGAGGCAGTTCCTGCATTCATTGCTGAGTGCCCAAACCTGATCTTTCTTGATCTTTCAGATAATCTAATCACAGGTCAGATTCCTATGCCATTACTATCTCGTTTGAAAAGACTTGAGTTCCTGAACTTGACAAAGAATTCAGTTGAAGGACCTCTTCCCACAAATATAGGAAATTTTAGAACTCTTCGACACCTGAGGCTTGGAATGAACAAACTGAATGGTACAATACCATATGAAATTGGGCTGCTCTCAAACCTTGAAGTTCTTGAGTTGCATGAAAATGGGTTTGACGGTCCAATGCCCTCTTCAGTAGGGAATCTCAGGATTCTTCGAAATTTAAATCTCAAATTGTCAGGCCTGAATTCCAGCATTCCAGAAGAACTTGGTTTGTGCACCAACCTCACTTACCTTGAGCTATCATCCAACAGCCTTATAGGTCCATTGCCTCTTTCCATGGCCTCATTAACACAAATCAGAGAGTTCGGAATATCTGACAATAAACTATCAGGAAACATCCATCCATCTCTCTTATCCAATTGGTCAGAGCTTGTTTCTTTGCAACTCCAAATGAATAATTTTTCTGGAACAATTCCACCTCAAATTGGAACTCTCCATAAGCTCAAGCTTCTGTATCTTTTTCAGAATCGATTATCAGGTCCCATACCACCAGAAATAGGAAATTTGTCGAATTTGATAGAGCTTCAATTGGCCGACAACTTTTTCACCGGTTCCATCCCTCCAACTATTGGAAATTTGTCAAGTCTCACCAAATTGATTCTTCCTTATAACCAGCTCAACGGAAAACTTCCTCCTGAATTAGGTAATATCAAAAGTTTAGAAGAGCTTGACCTGAGTGAAAATGACTTGCAAGGAACCTTGCCTTTGTCAATAACTGGCTTGAGAAACCTCAATTTATTTTATGTTGCTTCCAACAATTTCTCAGGAAGCATTCCAGAAGACTTTGGCCCTGATTTCTTGAGAAATGCAACCTTTTCCTACAACAATTTTTCAGGAAAGCTTCCTCCAGGAATTTGTAATGGAGGGAAGCTTATCTACTTGGCAGCCAATAGAAATAATCTTGTGGGACCAATCCCTTCAAGTCTTAGGAACTGCACAGGACTAATCAGAGTCCGCCTTGAACAGAATCTTCTGGATGGAGACGTTTCAAATGCGTTCGGCATGTACCCAAACCTGGAGTTCATCGACTTGGGAGACAACCAGCTCTCTGGCACGTTATCACCAAACTGGGGACAGTGCACAATCCTCTCAAACTTTCGCATAGCAGGCAACATGATGTCAGGCAACATTCCACCGGAGCTTGGAAACTTAACAGAGCTACAGAATCTTGACCTCTCTGGCAACCAACTGATTGGGAAGATTCCAATTGAGCTTTTCAGCTCTTCAAAGCTCAACAGATTTAATTTGAGCAACAATCAACTCTCAGGTCACATACCAGAAGAAGTTGGAATGCTTTCACAGCTGCAATATTTGGATTTTTCCCAAAATAATCTAAGTGGGCGGATACCAGAAGAACTTGGAGACTGCCAGGCACTTATCTTCTTGGACCTGAGCAATAACAGACTGAATGGGACAATGCCATACCAGATTGGGAATCTAGTTGCCTTGCAGATTGTGTTAGACCTCAGCCAAAACTTGATCACTGGAGAGATATCCTCACAGCTTCGAAAATTGACAAGACTGGAAATACTGAATATTTCTCACAATCATCTTTCAGGCCCAATACCATCTTCCTTTCAAGACCTATTGAGCCTTCAACAAGTTGATATATCACATAATAATCTCCAGGGGCCTCTCCCAGACAATAAGGCTTTTCGGCGAGCTCCTGCTGCATCATTGGTTGGCAATCCTGGTTTATGCGGGGAAAAGGC